GGAGAAGATCAAGACAAGACTTGGTTTGATGGATAGGTTGCAAGAGTGAAGGGCAAGTTGGAGCCTTTGGAGCGATGGACCGCGTGACGGTGAACCTTGAGCAAGACTTGGCGCCGATGGACGAAGGCAACTGTGAAAAGCAAGTGAGGTCAAGATCGATGAACCAACAAGGTCACGTGATGATATGAAGTGAATCATATCATTTGTGATATGGTTGGTGCATGTGTTGCATCAACATTGGAGGAGATAGAATAGAATGCGCAAGGCAAAGGTATATTTGTATATTTATAGGACATTTTATTTCACCGATCATAGGTGTGTAGAGAAGTTTATGACTGGGTTTAGGATAGATGGCCATACTATCAAGATGGGAAAACTTGTTTGCATATCGGTCATCTAGTTCCACTTGAGCGATCTAACTTTGCGATGTTGCTAGGATCGAGTGGCGTGGTGAATTGAGTGACTAATCATTTGGAAAATGATTGTGAAAATGCTAACACACAAGCACATGGTGATGTACACTTGGTGGTGTTAGCACATTTGCAAAGGTGGTAAAAATGAAGAAGAAATAGCACATAAAATGATGATTTTAGTGGTGCAAACTCTCAACAAGCAATTCCCATTTCTCAACAAGAAATTATTGTTGAGGATTAGTAAAGGGGGACAAGCATGCATGCGTGTCAGTGCGTGTTAGTGAGAGAGAAATCCCTCAACCAGCAATTTCCATTTTTCAGCAAGAAATTTTTTGTTGAGGAACAATGTATGAGAGAGAGAGGGCCGTAATGATCGGATGTAGGTAGTGTGACCAGAGTCCGGTCATCTTCGTGACACACTGGAGAGTGGTGCGGCTTGATCGGAAGCTGGCCTAGGGACGCGATCGGACATGCCCTGACACTGTTCATCGGCCGACACTGCACACAACAAGTGAACGGACGTGGCAGTGAGTCCGGTCGTACATGACCCGACGTGTTAGGTCGCCAAAATTTGTCTCTAGGTGCTTACTGGACTTGACCGACGTTGTGGCTCTGTGAGTCCAGTTGTTTGACCTATGCGTCCGATCAGTGGCTGACTATGCGCACGCGTTGAGATCAGTTGGGCGGCAATGATCGATTCAAACGGCTAGTGCCACCTAGAACTTTTGGAGCGACCGGACTCTGCTGACCTGACGCGTCCAGTCAGTACAGGTGCCTCCGGTCAGTCCGCAGAGTGCCTAGTGAAGAGGTACAATGACTCTATTTTCTTGGGGGCTATAAAACCAAGCACTAGCCAGCCTTGGGCTGGTTGCTGAGCATTCTCACGCCTATGTGGCTTGTGTAGGTGTGCTTGAGAGCCCTCTAACTCACTTGTGCTTGCAAGAGTGAGATCCAATTATGAGTGAGTGATTCTAGTGCGATTGCATCGTAAGATTGCATCGAGTGGCACTAGGTGTTCGTGTTGCAAGGCGGTGGTGCTTGTTACTCTTGGAGGTTGCCACCTCCTAGACGCCTTGGTGGTGGTCTCCATCGAAGCACGCAAAGAAGATTGTGCAGTGCTCCGGAGAAGAGATTGTGAGGGGTATTGTGCTCACCCCGCGGTAGCCGCGAAGAGCAACTCTAGTAGAGCGTGTCATTGAGCTACCCTTACTTTTGGGATAGGTTCTTACGGTACCCAACGTGTGGGCTTGGCGGGTGATACCAATTAGCCGCTGGACCACCAAGTGAGCGGTGGACAAAACGGGGACTAGCTTGGTGGCAACTAAGTGAATCTCGGGATAAAAATCACCATGTCATCATCTTCCCATTGGTTTGCAATCCCCATACACAAGCTTGTATTTACTTTTATATATATTATGCTTGTGTAGTTGCTCTTATAATTAGTTAGCTTGTGTAGCTTGCTAGTTACCTTCTTGCTTGTCTAGCATAGAAGTAGTTCCCTTGCGTGACTAATTGGCTTGAGTAGCCTTGTTAATCATATTGCATAGTTTGTGTAGCTAAGTAATTTGAGCTCTCTAACTTGGCTTGTGTAGCCTTGTTATTGAGCATTGCTAGTGAGCTTAGGTGGCTTTTGTGCTTTTGTTTACTAGCATGTGTAGGAGCTCTCTCGTTACTTGAAGTACTAGTGTGCATAGGTTTGTGTGACCTTGCTCCTAGAATTGATTAGGTAAGCTCTAGTTAGCCCGGCACCTTAGTTGCTAGTTTATGATCTTTTTAAAGTGCTTGAGAACATAGATAGAGGGATGTAGTCTTGGCTAGACCGATAGTTTGAATTTCACATTTGTTTCGGTTAGCTGGTGCGTTTAATTTTTAGAAAGGACTATACACCCCCTCTAGTCCACCATCTCGACCCAACACCAACAACCAAGTGGCCTCTTTGTGCACTTATTCTCAACTAGCCAGCCTCATCTATCAAACTAGATATAACCTTACTCACGTGGACAGGCCGATCCGCCTCTCCTTTGCTAGCAAGGGAATCAAAGTACTCCATCTATTTCAAAATAAGTGTACATATCGCACTTCGAAGAGTCATATAATTCCAAATTTGACTAAATTTATAAAAAATAGTATTAACATCGGTATCTCTAAACAAGATTAGTATAAAAATATATGATGTGATTGATTTAATGATGATTATTTGATATTATAAATTTTAGTATTTTTTCATATAATTTGGTCAAATTTAAACTTGTTTGACTCATCAAAATATAAGATGTGTACTTATTTTGAGACGAAGAACAGGAGCCTAGGGAGGGAGAAGATAGGGAAGGGAAGGGGTAGTGAGAGGAGGTGGCGCTGGGAGAGGGAGAGAACGGAGAGATGGTGAGAGGAGGCTGCATTGGGAGGGAGATAAATGAATGTGCTACGGTTCCTCTGGTGTATATATACTTAGATGGGCTAAGTGGGCTGGGCCTCTATCGCATCGCATCTGGAAGTGATCCTTATTTTTAGAGGTGGTATTTTTTTAGTGTCTCTTAAAATAGATTGATTGTCTCCAAAAATAGCCGTGTATTTTAGGAGGCATAGACATTTTTTTGTCCGCCTCTATGAATCAAATGGGTTATTTCCTAAAATTGCTTTTATAGTAGTGATAAAATAAGAGTACATATAGAGTTGATTAATGGCACCAAATGGTCAAATTAACTTTCGTGGAATTGGAAAGAGCAGTAGATTGCCATTTTCATTTTGTGCAAATGAAACATTAGCTTACTTATCTACGAGTACATGCCCAACGGCAGCCATGACCATCACTTATTTCCCAAGGAACAAGCAGGACGCATCCTCGGATGGACTACCCGCTACGGCATCATTGTGGATGTAGCTGCGGGGCTCCACTACGTCCACCACGAGCATGAGCGCATGGTGCTCCACCGTGACATCAAAGCCAGAGCCAGCAACATCATGCTCGACTCCACCTTTCATGGCCGCCTCGGCGATTTCGGCCTCGTGTGCATCTTGGGTTTCGACAAGAACTCCTACACTGACCTCGAGGTAAGCTAGATATAACCTTACTCACGTGGACAGGCCGATCCGCCTCTCCTTTTGTTAGCAAGGCAATCAAAGTACTCCATCTGTTCTAAAATAAGTGCACATATTACACTACGAGGAGTCATATAATTTCAAATTTAATTAAATTTATAAAAAATAGTATTAAATATGTATCTCTAAACAAGATTAGTATAAAAATATAGGATGTGATTGATCTAATGCTGATTATTTGATATTATAAATCTTAGTATTTTTTATATAATTTGGTCAAATTTAAACTTATTTGGCTCGTCAAGGTGTGAGACGTGCAATTATTTTGAGATGAAGAGCATGTTACGTGAACCTGGCAAATTGCTGTCCTTGACGAGCAAGGCGAGGCAGGAAGGAAGCAAAAGAGAGGCAGGGAACATCAACGGCTAATTCTAGATTCTCATCCGACGGAGGCCCCGTTTGGATGGTATGGTTCTGGAGGAATTTAGATGGTTTAAAGAAATTTTAGAGAAATTTGTAGGAGGAAAACATGCTGTGTATAAAAAAAAGAAACAGATCGAGCAGGTTTAAGGCACGCGAACGGGGCCGGAGCGTAAACAGCCCCCAAACTCCACGCCCGTCCTCTTGCTCGCTCGTCGCCGCCGCGCCGAACTCCTACGCGCCTACGCCCAGGCACATCTGTCCCTCCGCCGCCCGCCGCAGCTCCAGTCCGCACCGCTTGCTCGCGCGGTCCGGCTCCGCTCCGCATCCGTGCGCGCGGCGCCGCGCTGCCGAAGCAGATGCCGGGCCACCGCCGGCCCCACCTCCGTACCCGCTTCAGCTTCGCCGCATCTGCGCGAGTGAGCCAGTTCTTCTGCCCTTGCAATCTGATGGCACTAGAGTGCTAGAGTTGGGCTGAATGATGTGTAGTACTTCCCAATGTTGAGTGCTGAGTCCTGTTATTTTCGTTGTTTCTTCAGGCAGTCGAATTTTCATCTGAATCTGGTGTCTCAATCTCACCATTTGAGAACTCGATTACACCAGAATTATGAGAACTTCACTCAATTAATGGGGTCGAAACAGAATAGGTTGTCAAATAGTTGAGTAAGGGCAACAGAGAAGGAATCAAAGGTGAGGTGGTGGCGCCTCTTGAAGTGGCGCAGCAGTTCAGTGAGTAATGGCTATCACTGAATAAACACCCGTCTTATATTTGCATACACATAACACCAGTACCACAATATTTTCCCTGCTTATTCATACAATCACCAAGCCAGCAAGAGTCGGATTCACATGCTTCAATGCACATACATTCTTACTCCATGGCCTGTGTCTCTGGACTGAATATTGACACTATCGGAGTTTAACAAGGTGATACAGCGCACCCCAAGTTTGCTTTTGGTATGGTTGTAGGTGTAAATATATATTTTCGTACATTCAAGAAAATATTATTATTGGGAGCCAATATTTCTGCAAAGCTGAAAAGGCGGCCATTTAAACTGATGTTCTATATAATGCAAACCATTCTTGAGCCTAATGTATACCACTGCATAGTAACTTCTTTTAGTTACCTTATAGGATGGTGTCCCTTATCCTGGGCATCTCAGCTGCTGCATCCCTCATGCTGATTCTTTCTGTTGGTGCATGTTTGCTACATGATAGCGCAAGTTTTGTGATAGATAACATAACCTTGTTGATATCTTCCATTGCATTTCTTGCACCCTGTGAAGTAGATGCATGAGCTTCTTCGTCAGAGACTAGGATGGGATCAACAATATTCATCAGCATCCCTGGAAACGCATTCTCAGCATGCTTTTGCAAGGTTAACCCATCTTTGAACATGTCCTCAGTAGGTGTCAGGCCTGTAAACAACTCGAGGATGACAATTCCAAAGCTGTATACATCACCACATGGAGAAACTTGACCACCTTCTCCATATTCTGCATTGCATAGCGAAACAATAGTGATTCCCCACATTCTATATTGCATATGCAAACAATAGTGATATAACACACAGACTTAATGATAAAACTTCGAGTTACCTGGAGCCACATATCCAATTGTTCCTCTTATACCCATAGTGCTATTTGAGTTGACCTCTTGCTGGATTAGGAAGAACTTTTGCAAGGCTGAAATCCCCAACATGAGCAACCAATTCCTGATCAAGAAGAATATTGCTTGGCTTCAAGTCACAGTGAACTATTGGTGGTTCACAGCTGTTGTGCAAATACTCGAGGGCATCAGCAACATCAACAGCAATATTCAATCTTTGTGTCAATGTCAGACCATGCCATTGCTGTGATGTATGCTCATCTAGATGTAACCACCTATGTAAACTTCCATTTGGCATAAACTCAAACACAAGTGCTTTGAAGTCATTCTGGGTCGAGTCAGAACTGGAGCAGCAAGTTATGACGCCGATCAAGTTACGATGACGGATCTTCGTAAGTGCCTCACACTCAGATATGAAGCTTTTGGAAGAGCCAGGTTGTTGAAGATCAAAAACCTTCACAGCAACTGTAGTCATCATATTTTTGAGTAGCAAGCTGCACTTATACACTGATCCATACCTTCCTTTGCCAATCAGATTGTTAGTATCGAATCCATTTGTTCCTTGGAGCAATTCAGCATATGAAACTCTAGGATATTTGTCATCCATCAGATGTAACTCTGTCAGTGATGTAGACCGAGTTTTTTGTTTCTTCTTTAATGAAATGGAAATAAGTAACAAACCGAAACAAAAAAGGATGCCAGCAATTGGTAATATTACTTTGAAAATGGGAGCAACTTTCCTTTTTCTGTCGTCCATGGAATTTTGCAGGCATGGAGGCAAATGTAGTTCTGGGATACCACCACAGAGCCCAAGATTGCCATCAAATAGAAACCCAGTCACATTACTGAACACCCCATGCAATGGAACTTTACCATCCAGATGGTTGAAGGACAGGTCTAGTTTATCCAACGATGTCATGTTTTCAAAGGTTTCTGGTATACTCCCAGACAAATTGTTGCGTGAAAGATACAATCCTTTCAACCATCCATGAGACACAATTCTTGCGGAATTGGACCTGAGAGTGCATTATTGTCCAGAGTTAAGATTATCAAACCTTTCATTTTGCTGATAGAGGCAGGGATGGTACCGTTGAAGGAGTTAGTGTCCAACTGAAGGTCTATCAGGCTCTGGCAATTGCTGATAGCATCTGGTATTGATCCTGATAAATTGTTCCCGGCGATATACAAGTATGCAAGTTTTGTTAGGCTGCCGACTTTGGGTGGAAGAGGACCAATGAAATTATCGTACGCCAAATCCAGAGCAAATGACAGGGATTATATGTTTAAGGTCACTGTTGGAAACAGACCTGTGAACTTATTGTTATTGAATGTTGCCACAGTTAAGTCCTGGAGGCTTCCTAGGCTTGTAGGAAGAGCCCCCTCAAACATGTTGTGGCTTGTGTAAAGATGTAGTAGCTGTGTTAAGTCCCCGAGCGAGGATGGTAAGAACCCTGTCAACTGGTTACCATTGAATCCCAAAACTTACAGTGAATTTAGCATTCCAATGCTCTCAGGCAAGACACCAGTAAATCGGTTATTGGATAACTCCAGCTGAGTTAACCCAACAAGGTTTCTGATGCCAAATGGTATCTTTCCAGAAATCTCATTGTATCCAACAAAAAGAACCTGGAGTTGTGCTGATAGGTTTGAAGCAGAGCTTGGTAGCATGGCACCTAGCATGTTGTCTTGGACGTCAAATATACGAAGCCTTGTGCAGTTTGTCAGGAATGTAACAAATTTCCAGTCTTGTGCAGATGTCGCCGTGAGCTGATTTGTGTCGAAAGAGATGTAGTCTGGGCAAAGTTTTCCAATCTCAGGAGGCACACTTCCGGTGAACTCCCAAGTCTGAGGGAAGCATGCCATGCAACTCATTCTTGGTCACTCTGAAGAGTATAAGTGAGGAAATATTAATGAATGTTTTAGGAAGACTTCCTGAGAAATGGTTTTCGCCCAGATCCAAAAACATGAGACTATTATTCAGCCCACCCAAGCCCTCAGGTATTGTACCCTCAAGCTTGTTCCTGGTCAAATATATTTCTTGCAGGGACGAGAGGTTGCCAAGGGATTCTGGAATTACTCCAGTGAAGTTGTTTTTTCTCAGGTTTATGACCTTGAGTGGTAAGCCTCCAAGCCAGGCAGGGATTTCTCCCGTGAAAAAGTTCGAGTCAAGTTCGATCCTTTCAAGACTGGTGCAATTCTTTAACTGGGTGGTTATCTCACCATGCAGCATGTTGTTAGACAAATTGAAATGCTGCAACCGAGGCAGCTGGCCAACTGATACTGGAATTTCACCCTGCAATTTGTTTGAGCTGAGATCCAGAATTCTTAAGAATGTGAGGTTGCCAATGGAAGAGGTGATTGTGCCAGAAAAGCCCTGAGAGGTGAGGTTTAGAACTGTCACCCTGTCCTTGTGCTTAAGGCTGCAACTGACACCTGGCCAGTGGCAGAACTTAGTAGTTGTGTTCCATGCAGCCAGGACTCCATGCTGCTGGTTTAGGCTCGCCTTGATTTCCAGTAGGATACCCTCATCAGGATTTTTGTTAACTGCTATTGCTGATGCACTGGGTACCATTCGGAGCTCATACGTGAAGAGAAGCAACAGAAGAATAGGAAACATAGATGACACTGCAAAGCATGGAACAATTTGTGAGTTTACTATGATTGAACATGCTGCATGTCAAAGCAGTAAACATATTAAGGGGTGTGCATCAGTCATTGCCTCAATATGGAAGCAATTTGGGGTATGTACTCCCCATCTTCTGAAAGGAAGAATTTTATGCTAGCGGTTTTTAAGGTAGCATAAATAGAGGTTAATACAACATTTAGCATTGTTTGGTTATTCTACTTTTGAAGCCTTTAGTGTCAAATTGTAGTTTCATACTTCACAATATCACGTGCCATTTTTTTTTCAGATTTTATGTTTTCTAACCATGTTAATGTTCTGGTGTCTACATTTATTGAGAAAAGTTTTGCTCACTCCTCACACAATTAATGTGGTTAGTGATGTGCTAATGCCACTACCGGCTTGTAACAAATGGCAGCATGGATAAAGTAATTATCCAAACCGGCACCCAACCACAGTCGGCATGAAATACTTCAAGATCTGTCCTGGTTTTCGCACCAGCACCAATACACCACTTATATGTGCCTCACTCTTAAGTATGGGCTCCGATAACCGACACGGATGAGGGTTACTTCACTAGTGAAGAGTGGGGAAATGCTTTCCTCTATCTGTCTTTAAAAAATAATGTCTTATCATAACCCTTCACCGTATAAAGGTGATGTGGATACACAAAAGTAGTCAAAATCTTTTCCTTTTGAAACTGCCTCGATAAAAAACGTTGGCATTCACAGTGAACTTGCTGAAATCTAGGGAGATCATATTACAGCTAAGAATGCAACTGATAAATGGGTAATTAAGATACCTGAGTAAACAGTTTCTAAATTGATAGGGGAAAATTAGAAAGGGGAGAAACAAAATGGTACAGAAGCACCTTACAGGATGAATATTTGAAACTAGAAGTCTTGGAAGAAGCTTACCAAGGCTGAAGTTCGACCTATTATTGATATGATTGCTGATCTTCAGCCTTGGTAAGCTTCCGTATGGGGGATGGAAACCAGATTTGCTAACAAGGGTGAGCAGGAAAATGTTGGTGCAATTTGGTATTGGAGTATTTGGTCAGTTTGTAATAATTTTATCTTCAAGGCTATTTAGCTCACATCACAGATGTGCAAAGAGATTTTCAAGAAAGAATTTGCTCTGGTTATCCATGAGCAAAGAAAAATTACTCTCGTGCTATTGATCAAAGGCTAGAGCTTTTGTGTAATTTTCATGATTCTCTTTCTTTCTTTACACATTTTCTTGTGGTTTACCTCTGTACCTTGTACTGTGCTTTTACTCCTTACACAGTTTCAGTAAGGCGTAGCCCCTCCTGTTTCCAAATTCCAATAAAAAAAGACCTCTATTGAGATTGTGTGTCTTGTCTGCTAGCTCATTTCTTTTTTATTGGGCAGGTAAGCTCAAAGAGGCGGTTCAAGAGGTGTTGATTCAAGGAGCTAGAGGACGCAGCATTCCAATTCCATCAAGCAACAACAAGAGATGACAAACTGCGTGGAGACCAAGGAGTGGCTGCTTGAAGAGCTCCTTGGGCATGATTGTGTGAAGGTGTAGCCAACTCTAGTGTAAGGAAAATAGACGCTAGACCCATTTACTTCGGATTTTGGTGTTTAATGACCAACACAACCAAGTTGGACTAATGAATTTGCAAGTGATTGTTTTGTAGTTCAATAGGGTATAAGACGTGACTTGGACGAATGCGGCGTGATGATCCGATGGTCTACACCATAAGCAAGACCTTAGAAACACAAGAGAAGACCCAACAGATCAAGCAAAATCCAAGCACGAAGATAGAAACCATGCTGGACGTAAGATCGTGAAGAAACGAGCTCACAGAAGTGACCGGACGCTAGTAGCACAGTGACCAGACTCACCGTTCAGAGGCTCGGCTGCAAAAGCGACCGGACGCTGATCAAGCAAATCGACCGGATGTAGGACAGCAGAGTTCGATCGAGTATAGAGAGGTTCCAGAGTGGCGATACTACGACCGGACGCGTCCGGTGGCATATGACCGGATGCTGGCAGCGTCCGATCAATTGATCGCGGCTCCAACGGTCAGAACGATCGGACGCGTCCGATCAGGACAACCTGAGCATCCGGTCAGTAGCAGAAAAGCGGGATTTTGTCCTCAACAGCTACTTTCTCAGTGGGGCTTATAAATAGACCCCCCAACCGGCCATTTGAAAGAAGTGGAGCTGATGAAACATATCAAGGGTGTTGATACATCATTTTAGTGATCTCCACTTGTATAGTGTTTAGTAATTCATTAGGTGATTAGCGTAAGTACTTTACGAAGTGCTTAGGTTGATTAGACCACCGCTTATGCGCTTGCTCTAGGTTTAGGCCTAGTGTTTAGTGAGGTTTGCATACCTCTTATCACTCGGTGCTTGCGTGTATCATTGTTGTACATCGGAGGGGCTTGTAGTCTTGCGAGATCACAGCAACCGCGTTTGTGGTGTGGCCGCCATCGTGTACCGGAGGGAACAAGGCCCGCGGCGTTTCAGTCGGAAGCTTGATAGTGAAGACGGCGAGGAGCATTCGGGAGAGGCTTGCCGGAAGGCGCGTCGGAGACCCACTTGAGCGTGGGGAAGGTCTGAGGCTATCCACGGAGTTACCCGACCGGGAGCTTGACCCTTGCGAGGGATTCTTTGTGAGGGGCTCCAACGAGGATTAGGGGGAAGCTTGCGTGCTTCTCGATACCTCGGTAAAAATACCAGAGTCGTCGACGGGAGTTTGCATATCTCTACCTTACTCTTTGGCTTTCGTATTTACATTGATTGTATTACTCCTTTTGCGGTAGAGATAGCAACACATTAGCAAAACTGTAGTTGCACATTTAGATAGTTTATCTTTTGCTTAGTTTTTGCTAAGGTTAGAAAAAGATACCAGAGTTTAGAGTTAGGATTTTAAGTTGCCTAATTCACCCCCTCTTTTAGGCGCCATGGTCCCCTTCAATTGGTTTCAGAGCCAGTTGGCTCAATTTGGACCTTTGGCTTAACCGTCGTTGAGCCGACGCTATTTAGAGTGGTTGGTATGGATACCTCTAGGCCTTCGTACTTTGACGGCACTAACTTTCCCCTATTATAAAGCTAGAATGGCTTGCTACGTTGAGGCGGTTGATTTGGAAGTTTGGAGAATCACTCGTGACGGGATGAAACCCATTAAGAATCCCGATAAACCCACGAAGAGTGAAGAAAAGGAAATTCATTTCAATGCTAGAGCTAAAAATTGCTTGTTTGAATCATTTAATATGGATGTGTTTAACCAAGTGTTCACTTTAAATACGGCACATGAAATTTGATTAAAACTCCAAGAGCTCCATGACGGCACATCTAATGTCCATGAGCAAAAACATTACCTAGCTAAACAAAATTATGATTCCTTTACAATGAATGATGATGAACTTGTTCGTGATATGTATTCTCATTTGAATCTAATTATCAATGAGCTCCATTCAATAGGACTAACAAAGCTAGATGATGCGAACATCGTGAGGAAGATTATTTCCATGCTACCACAAAAGAAATATGTAAGCATCATCACTATCCTTCACAGCATAGAGGATTTGAGCATCATGACCCCGGGCATAGTCATTGGCAAGATAGTAGCATTTGAAATGTCACGTAAGATGGGTCAAGAAGAAGCCTCTTCATCAAACAAAGGCAAAGCTCTCGCACGTAGCGAGAAAAAAAAGATGAAGGGCAAGCAAGTTGAGACAAGCTCAAGCTCCTCAAGTGAAGATGAAGAAGAAGATGAGGATGATGATGATGGTGATGGTGATGAAGAAGAATCAAGTGATGATGATCAATCTTCCTCCTCCACCTCCGACCTTGATGAAGAATCAATCAAATTAATCAACAAGGTGGAGAAGATGATCCAAAGGCTCAATGTCAAGGGTGTGCCCATCCAAATCCAAGATCTCATTTTCACCAATCAAAGAAATGAGCAAAGAAAGAAAGGATGCTATGGATGCGGCGAGTTGGGGTACTTTGTGAAAGTTTATCTAAACAAGCCCACACCCAAGACAAAGAAGAAGGTATGCAAGAACCAAGCCCTCACATCAATAAAGTCATGAGATAATTCTTCAAGTGAAGAACACCATCACAAGAGGTGAGGGCGCAAGCACTCATCATCAAGCTCTTCTCGTATGTGTCTTATGGCACGAGGTAATGAAAGCTCATCCTCTAGTGAGAGTGATAGTGATGATGAAATGCCTTCTTATGATGAAATTGTGCAATAAAATCTTAATTATGCTAAAGTTTATATTAGTCAACAAAAGAAGCTCAAAAAATTAAAAGAAAAGCTAAGTAGTTCACAAGAAGCATATAAAACTTTGCTTGAACAATATGAGAACTTTGCTAATCTCAATATTGAACTATCTACTAAGATTGAGCAACTTAAGGCTAGTGCAACAACAAATGCATGTACAATTAATGATGAGCAACTTGTAAAAAAAATAAAAAATTAAAAGAAAAGTTAGCTAGCTCACAAGATGCTTATAAAAGTTTGCTTGCTAAAATAGAAACCTTTTGTAAACATTGTGATGAGCTAACTAATAAAGTTGCTAATCTTGAAGCCGTTAGTGCAACTCTCACCAAGGCATTTAAAAGGAAAAGTTCTATCTTTAACATGTCTAAAAAGGATGCCTCTACTTCTTGCAATGATTTATATTTAGACTCATCTTGTGCAACCAAGTTTGTGTTGAGAAAATTGTTGTAGATACATGCACACAAGAGGTTGCAAAGGAGAATGAGCAACTCAAGTAAGAAGTAGTTCGCCTCATCAAGGACTTGACTCAAGTGAAAGGCAAGGCGAAGCAAGCCCAACTTCATCAAGATAACACCATCAAGGGAGTGAAGAAGCTTGATGAAGGACAAACCATGGTTTGCTACGTGTGCCACAATGAAGGTCACAAATCTTATGAGTGCAAGGTGAAGAATGGGGGAGGAGCAAAGAAGAAAGAGAAGAAGCAAACAAGCAAGCTCTCCAACACCTACACCAACATGGTGGACAAAAAGGCATCCACACCTTATCTCTTGAAGAAGAAGAAAAATGACAAGGTGATGGGCATCAAGGTGAACAAGCAAGCCAACAATAGGGTCAAATGATTTTGGTTGTCAAAGGAAATCATTTCCAACA